AGAGCGACAGAGACAGAGAGAGAGAGAGACAGCGAGAGAGAGAGAGAGAGAGAGAGAGAGAGCGAGAGAGACAGAGACGGAGAGAGAGAGAGAGAGAGAGCGACTCATGTCTTCATGAAGTCCTGATGCAGCGCACGAAAGTCTTGTTTCTTGCTGGAACTGGCCGCCATGACAAAGGGGATACAAGGGATCGCAGGACACACCAGTAGTGGAGCTTTCTCTCTTTCATCTTAAAATCTCCGGAATATTTGAGGGGGCAAGACGTTATTTCAATATAGTATTTCCGTGAGTTGTTTCGTCGTAATTTTATTCAACGATGATTATTTATTGGGCATCGCAAAAAATCCGTCTAGCGTGTATAATGTGGCATCCCATATCTCATCAATATCGTTCGTCGTCCGCAGCGTTCATCGTCGTGTCGTCTGGTATCGTATTGTCCGTCTCGTCTGTCTTTGTGTCGTCCGTCGGTGAGTCGTCCGTCGGTATCTCGTCTGTCGTATCTTCTATCGTGGCGTCTGGCGTCCGTAATTCTTCCTTGTGTCGTCTGATGTCGGTGTCGTGCTATCTGTCGTTGTATCGATCGTTTGTCTTCTAATGTGGTATCATTTTTTTCGTTCCTCTTGTCGTCGCTTCGTCTTGTGATAAGTTTTCGTCGCGAGGATCGTTTCATGAATAAGTATTTCTATGATTTTGGTATCTTAAGAGCTGCCGGGTGTATGTGAGAAATCTATCGTCCGAAATTGTTATTTATAAGTATCTGATGAAGTGTAAACGTCCATGATCCGCTTTGAGGTGCGTGGCAGAAGTACGCGTCATCTTCTACAAGATTGGCGTGCGAGATCACAAGAGCAGGCCGAGCATGATCCATGTTTGCAAAGAGGGAACCGTCTTATTCCGCAGAAGCCAGCACCGAAGCTTGCACGTGCTTTTTGAGAAAGCGTGTCTTAAATTCGATTGCCATGGATTGTCTTGTTCAAGAAGAACGGGCAGACGATGTATACCCACAACCCGGAACACGAAGCTCCACCGTGAGCCCGAGACCTTTAGGGTCTATTTAACCACCCCTTATCATACCTCCAATACCGAAAGCTTCGCTAAAATTACTTCACGAGATACCCCAGCTACGACAAGACCCGTGGTCCGAATAGTTTTGAACCTCAAGGATAATAACAAACATGTCGATACTCCACATACATCGTAGGACCACCCTCAGTCTTGAGCATCTTCACATGATATGCCGGATGAACATGGACGAACTAAACTTACACTGACTTGCACTGTCTGGCAAGGTTTTGGATGCTTGTAGCACGTTAGTGCTGTTTGTATGTCAATGCGTGTTCCAGAGTTGCTTGTTGTACATGTTGACTACTACTTGTTTTCCCTGCGTATCTTCGACGTTTCTGTGTCCGCTGGTCTTTGTCGCTCCCTTAATGATCACCTCTAAACCCCCAGTTGCATAAGCAGCAAGAACTACAAGGGCGACGACAGCCAGGACCATGACCACGCTAGGAACCGCCCCAGCACAACCTGCAGCATTGGAGCCTATGGCGGCGCGCTCAGACGGAGCACTACTGGTACGCGAGGTGCTTGAGGTTCGTGCATGTATCAATTTGCATCTGTAAGAAGTCTTTGCCCTGAAATCGTGGTGGGAATTGATCGGCATCGAAGCAACGATGCTGGGCCCCCACTGGTCCCTGAGCTTCCTGCCACAAGGCAGACAGGTCTGAACCGCGTTCACTCCAAGTCGATGACGGTCATCTGTGTACCGATCCTCCTCATCCGAGTCATCAGATAAGACCTTGCCATCACACAGTGGTAGGAACTGCTCGACATCGAAGCCACGCTTCTGTGGCCCCAGCTGGTCGTGCCAACGGATTGACGTTTCGACGTCGTCGGGCCTGCAAATGCTAAATAAGGATTTGACGATTTTGCGTCCGGCATAAAGAGACGACTTTGCAGACTGGTTATGAATTTCAAGATTTGGCGTTCGGCCAAGAGACATGTTCGATCGATCAACCTACAGTTCCAATACACACTGACACGCTGAACCGTGCGCCCTTGCGGCTCTAAATATCCTCCCTGCAGCTCCAAGTTGATTCCAGAATGCTTCTACAAATACAGACAAACCGTCCCCGTCTTGCGACGCCTTCATGCTTGCACGCTGCACCTTCAAAAAAACCAAATCTACCACTACTGGCCCATATACAGTATATGGGCCAGTAGTGGTAGATTTAGTTTGTTGAAGCTTTAATTACACATGAAATGTTCTGCATGCGGCGCAGCAGACAAAGGCAGGAGAGTGCTGTCGGCATGTCTCCTACTGAAGTCGTTTGGCAGATGGAGCTGTGTCAACCATTGCACTTGTCAGCCAGAGCCAAAATGGCGGCGTCCCAGAACTTTGCGTTGGAGTTCAGCACCGTCAATTGCCACACATGAAATTCATAATTCGCGTTTCTCATCACGCCGTTGCGATGCTTCCTGGCACCGCACTGGTCGGCTCAGTAGGGGCCGAAACGCATAAACCTTGGGGCAATCGGCAGTCTCTGGCAGCAATGTACGAGAAAGCAAGACACCTTGTTTTTGAATCACGCGAGAGCACAACAACAAGCCAGCGGAGCAATGAGGCCATTCCAGGACCCGCCAATACGACTGTTAGATTGTTAGATGGCGCAGTGCTGTTGTAAGTTATACATAGGTTTGTCACCCGTCACCTTCTTCCTTGCCACTGCACGCTGTTTTGCAGAGATAGCAGCACGCTGATTTGCAGAGAAACTGAGTCACGGACCCACCTTTTCCACCCCAAACCTTCGGCAACTCTCTCGCTTCTACATACACTCTCTCCCGAAATCCATCCGTTCTGGCGGGCAATTGGCCTTTAAAGGATTCCACTTACGCTGCAGGACAACTCAAGATGGCGAATGTATGCCTGTAGGCAAGTGAACGTAGGGACGAAGTAATCACGGTGCAGTCAGCAATCTTGACAAAAGAGGGCCTGCTGCGGCTGCTGGTACCCCGTCTGCAGTCCTTATGCAAGAATCTGCAGCTCACGAGCTGGTTGCTGCGCAGGCAAGCTCGAATATGAGAAAGACTACGGTGACTCTTCTTAAATATGTAGATTTTTAAATACCTGAAGAGATATGTTATCATTACCCACCTCCGTTGGCCGGGTCACCAAGCCCCTGTTTAAACCCCCCACCCCCTCCACTTCCACCTTTCCACCCCTCCACCTCCACCCCTCCCTTTCTGCGCTGGGGATGGAGTGGGGGGGCGCAGGTGGTGAGGTGGGGGAGGGGTGGAGGGGGTGGACGGGAGGGAGGAGAGCGGTGGAGGAGGGACGAGGAGGAGGAGGACGGAGGGTGGAGGCTTGGAGGGTGGGGTTGAGATGGAGTTAATTTTTAAATACGATTTCAATCAGCACTTTTATACTACCTCTCTTGCTCCGGGACTTTGGCTGCCCTCCACATATTTACAAAACTTGACTGCGTCCACAGATCAACACGAACAATGATAATCCTGAAACTCCGGCAGCCTCTTTCAGCATCATTCAAGTAACGCAGCTTGCAGCAAGTCAAATTGTTCCGGTGCGACCTGGGAATCTGATCTTTGCCGAGCATCCCTGGAAAGCTGGCTGAAATGCCATGGCACCTGTGCTTGTAAGATGCTTCTCCCGACTGTGGGCACTCATAGTCATGACGACACGGCCGGGCACTTCCTAGATTTGCAAGAGCAGTCTCTTGTCACAACAAACGAGCAATGGCCTGGAAAAGCAGGAAAAGCCTGTGGAGCTGCCTCATGCATGGGCATCCGGAAATAGACTGCTGACTTCTGACAGTTGTGCCGGCAAACTTCGTGGTCTCAGCATCACAATCTTGCTCGCAGCAACTCTGGCCCTGTCGACTGTTCTGGCACCCAAATTCAAAGCCCCTACAAAGCAACTTGCTGCAGCTCAAGCTTGCTGTCATGGCGCCCAATGCTTCCCGTGCGAATAAATCGAAAGCTTGCAAGAGATGTGCAATGTTGCTCGCTGATCCGATGAGGTAACTCTTGCAAGTGCATCAACAAATCCGAGGAAGCAAGGGACCAGATCCGCATGATGTGCCAAGGCCACCGCAAAGGCAAAGGCTGGTGCTTGTGTTGGCAATTGCGGCTGCTGGCTAACGAGGCCCTTCGTGCCTCAGCAGTTTCGTGGCTAAAACTTCTTGGACTAAATTTCAGCAGGTACGGCCTGGCCCAAGGCTAGTTTATACACGACGAACTTCGAATATCACTCACTGAGTGGCAACTGACGTTTTCCACGTCGTTGGCTTAGTTTGTCATTCATCTTTGCTATGCTGCTTCATGAAACCTTACAGTGAACACCTTGCACGGCGCTCAGCAGGTATCCACGGTAACCCTGCACTGATCTCTCGCCCTCTTGGGCGGCATGTGGAGAGCTCTTCAACTAAGGCTCAGCTCAGCTATCAGCCAAGCATTGGCTTGCAGCGTGCAAA